AGGTACACGTGGATGGGCTGACACAATAAGAATAATCCTAATGCCGTGTACTCACTATCCATATAAATAAATAATAACATAAAAATATCCAGCCCATTATATATGGTCCCTTTAGGTGCAATTTCTAGTGTGGCTGAACACTGTTTCTGCTCCAACTTTCCGTAAGAATATTTACATCAACATTGTGACAGAACACGTAGTCACGTGTGTCCATACCAGGAACAGTCCACACTGCAACCCAATTTCCCCCTATGTTATCCCCCATCTTTTCACCAAAAGACTTGATCACTACCCCTCACCACCTACCCCTCTATGCTAACCACCCAAAAGTGCCTCTCCCCAGTGCCGGCTAATGAGTCCATAAAGCAATGAGCAATTCTGTGGGACTCTGGTTCGGCCGCGCCTGTTCACATTCCTGGACGACTTTCACCTCAGTTTTCCCCCACTTCCTGATCAGCCAGGAGAGCGGTAATTGGAGGGGAGGTTCAATAGACTGAGATGAACAATTGCTTCATAAGAGCCAGGGGGAGTGTCCATTTTCAGTTCGCAGGAGAGCCCGATGTTTGACCAACGAGACAATTACCATGGAACTCTTTTTGGCATGGACTTTGGTAGCGACCGGTCAAATCTTTACCCCAGTGGTGATCTGTTTATTTTCCGTGGATCTAAGCACTATTTTGACAATTGGGCGCTCGGTTCAGAGCTATCTGGGGATATATGATGTGTTGCGGTTCCTGCTGATTTTGATATGTTTTTGGGGGGTATTTTGTGCTGTGTCCTCTGTATCCAGAGACAAATCAATTATCTTCCAGACACAAAGGCACCAAGGGAAGAACAGTTGGTGTTGTATAGGGACCCCATGCTGGGGGTCCATGTATAAATGACCATGCTTTTGTCAATAAAAGCAGTTCTTATCCCAGCATTAATTATTTTTATTATTAATTATAAAGCACCAACAAATTCCACAGTGTTGTACAATAGATGGACTAACAGTCATGTAATTGCAACAAGACGAGTTGGACACACATAAGTAGAGTGTTAAGGGCCCTGCTCAAGGGTAAATTTATTGGACAGTTGCAGGAAAGGAAGCAAAGTGGGTTAACCAATGTGAGGGGAGGGAAATCTACTAACAGTATAACTGATATGCTTTCCTAAGGAAGAGCCAGAAAAATAAATACTGAAAGAGCACTGGGAGAGGTAGGAGGAGAACCAGGAAAATGCAAATTTCAAGAAGAAATTTTGATGATAAACAGTTTTGAAAGCAGCATAAAGGAGAATTAGGAGAGAGGACTGACCATTGGATTCAGCAGCAAATAATTAATTGGATACTCTAGTTAGGGCAGTTTCGACAGAGTCATGAGTACAGAATCCAGATTGAAGCGGGACGAGCAGAGAGTTGGATTCAAGGAAGTAGGTCAATCTAGCATACACAACTCTCTTGAGGATCTTGAAAACAAATGGTAGTAGTGAGATAGGGCAGTGGTTTGATGGGGAGTTATGGTAAAGGCAGGGACGGCGCTTCCTATAAGGCAAACTAGGCAGCTGCCTAGGGTGCCATATAGGAGGGGGCGCCCTTTGAATGCTGCAGCCGCCTGAGCGCTCTTTAGAGAGCGCTCAGATGGCTGCCGTACTGCCTCACCTCCCCTTCCCTGTAGCGACCCAGCTTGAGACTGGCTTAGTAATAATCCAGCTAGCATCTCAAAACTTAACACACTACAGAAGGAAAAGCGTGAGAAACTTTAAAGAGAGTAGAGAAAGGTAGAGTAGAAAGAAATTACAGAAGTAGAGAAAGGTAGAGTAGGGAAGTAGAGAAAAAATGATTACACACAGAGTAGGGGAGAAAAGATTACAGAGGTAGAGAAAATTACGAGAGGTAGAGAAAGGTGGAGGGAGAAAAGAAAGAAAAGGTACAGGAGGGAGGGGAGAAAGAAAGAGGTTACGGAGAGGGGGAGAAAGATACGAGGGAGGGAGATAGAGATTACAGGGAAGGAAAGGGGGAGAAAGAAAAGAGAAAAATTATATGGGGGGGAAGATTACAGGGAGGGGAGAAGATTACAGGGAGGGAGGAGGAGAAGAAGAGAAGATTACAGGGGAGAAGAAGAGAAGATTACAAGGGGGAGAAGAGGAGAACACAGGGAGGGAAGAAGGGGAGGAGAACACGGGGGGAAGAAGGGGAGGAGAACACGGAGGAAGAAGGGGTGGAGAACACGGGGGAGATGAGAACACAGGGAGGGGGGTTGAAGAGAATGTGGGGGAGGGAGAGACCACTAAAGGAGGGAGGGGGTGG